TGTAGCTAAAATAACATTGCAAGAGTCTCTTTCAGAAGCAAAATGGTTCAAAAGTGCATAATAGAAGCAGCATGCAGAGGGCCTGCACTCGGTCTTCTGCGCAAGCATTTTTCACTCCAGTTTAGTGTTCTTATGGAACTTGTGAATACATGAACAACTGGGTCCTGATTCTTGGCCTTCTCTTGGGCTCTTTTCCTTCTGTCAGCTTGCCTTGTCCAGCTTCGATGTGGTGGGTTTTGTTTTATCTTATTATATTTTACTGTTATGTTTTATTATTATCTCTTAGAAGCCTGTTCTTTTCTAATGAGAGACAGAATGGAGTGGATTCAGATGGGAGGGAAGTGAGGAGGAACTGGGAGGAGTAGAGGGAGGGGAAACCATAATCAGGATATACTGTGTGAGAAAACAATCTACTTGAATGTATATGTACTTTTTTACTATCATGAGCTATAAAACATAGCTAATGCAATCAAAACATATTTTCTAAGTCTGAAGCTTATGTAAATTTTATTGGCAGCTTATCTAAGAAATGGAAATCAGCATTTACTTTTAGAAATTAATATTGTGTTCTTACTACAAGGTGTGGAAGACAAATGGAAAATTTGTGGATGGGAAGGATGAAGAAGGGGAAGAGAAACTGTTATCAGAATATATTGTATAAAAAAATCCATTTTGAATAAATTATATGAAAACTTAGAAAATGCAGACATGAAGATCAGGAGTTCAAGGTCAGCCTCAGCTACTTAGTTTTAGAACAGCATAATCTACATAAGATCCTGTCTCAGACAGATATAGTTTGATTGTTAAATAGATAGATGATAGATCGATAGATGGAGGTAGAGAGAGAAAAATAATTTTCCTTGTTATTTGCCCCCTCAGACCATAGGCAAGCAAACAAAGCACCACTACAACAACACTGGTAGAAAATTTGGTTAGTGTAAATAGTTCTCACCAAAAATGCTGGAAAGTCTCAGTGGAAGTAATATATTTCTGAAGTCCCACTTTTATGTTTCAAGGAAAAAGTAACTGAAGATTGTTTCAAAGTGAACTATAAAGATTAATTTCACTTATAATTGGGCACATATGTACACATATGTGTAAGTTGTACATATATACACATATATAATATATAATCCCTAAATCTAGATTAAGATTTCCAATTTGCCGAATTAGAAACCATCATAAGGTGTCCAGTGGTAGTGGCAGATGCCTTAAATCCCAGCACTGGGCAGACAGAGGCAGGCAGATCTCTGAGTTTGAGACCAGCCTGGTCTACAAAGCAAGTTCCAGGACAGTAACGACTACACAGAGATCTTCTGTCTCAAAATAACAACAAACTTCAAAAACCAAACAGATATTTAGAAACCTTTTACTATTTGGTTGGTACTATACTTCTGATACTAAGGTACTATATTATTTCTATTTTTATTAATATTCTGGTTATTACACTGAAATCTTTAAAGTTGTGGGCCAGATGTGATAGCACATACTTGTCATTCCAGCATTTGGGAGGTGGAGACATGAGGATCAACTGTCAAAGCCATCCTTAGCTACATAACAAATTTAAGACCAGGCTGGACCACATGAGACCATGTCTCACACAAAACAAAACAAAAAACCCCAAACCCACAAACAAATAACAACCTTTAAAATCACACTTAAGTCACAGAGTTAATATGAATGAGAGAAAATTTTAAGGGTCATCTACCATGCTTCAGACACTGTGCAAGCTCTTATTGAATTCAGTTTTTAAAACAGCTTTGTGAAGTACATGCAACCATCTTCATTTAACAGAAGAGGAAAGAAAGGCTAAAGGAGACTAAGTAGCTTGTCCAATTCACTCAGTCAGTTTATGGTGTCATCTGGATTGAAACTCAGGTCTGGCTAGCACTTTGAAGTGACTAAGCAAGAAGTAGGTTTGTAGAGTCTGGGCTAGGTGATAAAATAGTCTTGGGACCATTAAGGGTTTACCCACTGAAATTCAAAATACCAGTATTTGATTCTAAGTGGATGGTGTTGTGCGTGCGTGCATGCGTGCGTGCGTGCGTGCGTGCGTATGTGTGTCTGTGTATCTGTGTGTCTGTGTGTCTGTGTGTAGATAGGCACACAGGAGGGGAGTACAGGTACCATGGGATTCCCTAGAGTTCAAGTTACAGGCAATTGTGAAATGCCAGGATGGCTGCTGGGAACCAAACTCTCGTTCTCTGCAAAAACAGTATGCACTCTTAACTGTTGACCCATCTCCCCAGGCTCTTACAACATTTTACTTAAGGATTTTTCTTGAATTAAACTTCCCTAACTGTTGGGGAAGTCCTGGGCATTTGTCAATAAAGTACTGTCTGGCCAATAGGGAATCTAGATAGGAGGGACTAGGAGTCCAGGAGGATTCTGGGAAGGAGAAACACAGGGGGAGTCAACATGTAACGCCATGGGGTAGGAGCCCGGAACTATTCTCCGGTAAGAGAAATACTTAGATTAACAATTATGGGGTAATTACTTAAAACAGAGCTAGCCAGTAAGAGACAAGCAAGCCCAACAGCTTCATAATTAATATAGCCTCCTGTGTGTTTATTTGGGACTGATGCAGATCTGGAACCAGGCGGGCGGAATGGCTTTTCTCAAGGAAAAAGCTTCTCTTAACACCTAAATTCATTCATTTCTCCCCCTTCATCTCTAATTGACTGCCTGCATTTCACACAATTTTAGCGAAGATCTTTAGCCTTCCAAGCCTCCAGAGTCAATCAGGAATTACCATTACTTAATGTTACATTCAGTGTTGCATTTCAAGCAAAGAAGCCACAAAGATAAGTGGGGAGAAAACAGCATCCATGAAAGTGCCAGGCATGTGTGTTCTTACAGAAGGCATCCTCCACACACAACTCACATAGGACAGCATGAAACATGTCATACCAAAGCAATACTTTGCTTTCCCTCAAATGAGGAAAAGCACAGCAATGATATATGGTAGCTTTTTTCTTACTAAATATGCTTCTGCGGAAAAGCATAGCTCAGCTTTTGAAATTTTCCATCCATCTTTCATTTTTAAATGCTTTAGAATTGCTGGGGTTGGAAGCCATGGCCTCCTGAATAAAGGTAATTTCATGAATGAAAGACTACGTGATATTGCCAGCCCTATCCAGAAGTCATAAGCCATGAAATCCTGGAATCCGTGTATTCCTGGAATTTAGAGACATTTTCTTTATATCACTAAAATCTATTAACATTTCAAATATCAGGTCAAAGGGCTGGTGAGATAGCCTAGTTGGGGCTTGGAGTGCTTCCCAAGCAAAGCCTGACCACCTAAATTGATCCCCAGAATCAGGACTCATGAGGGAAGAAGAGAGCTAGCTCCCCAAAGATGTTCTCTGATGTACACACACTTGCAGCAGTATAACCATGCCTGCACACCTACACACACACACACACACCTACACACGCACACAGGTACACACACCTGCAGAAGAGAAACAGAATTTGCTTTAATCAGGTTCAGGTGAAATTACCAAGTTTTTCGCTTTTCATGCCTGTGTCTGTAGGAACAGCATCTCAGCTTTGTAAACACATTCAGTGCACCAACCACTTCAAGCAGCTGCATTTTCAGTTGTGCAACCTCTTAAGGCTATGCTATTTACAAGGCAGTTTGCAAAACATTTCTTACACTGCTACTAAAAACTCTGAGATAAAACAGCCACTCCATCTTGAAACTTCCTGACTTTTAAGTGTCATGGGTGCTCCTTTAATACTTTTTTAAGTGGTTTTCATTTAGTTTGCCAAAATAGGTTGGCTTTACTTTCCAATTTGAAAAAAAAATTCAGGTCAGTTAGCTGTGATGTCCATCTTACAGGCACTTTAAACTACGATGCTGGGATTCCTTTCTCCTGTAGAGATAACAAGCCCCCCCCCCCCCACCCGCCCCCAAGAGAAGGGAGGATCTCAGTCTATTTATGTATTTCGGAGTGTCCATGAGTTACTAGTGTGTGCTTAAGTTAAGAGACAACCACTTCCTTGTTGTACATAACCAACCTAGCATGGTGATGTTTGGTTTATGGCCTAATAAAGAGTGCCTGATAAAGAGTGCCTGAAGATCACTAGTTAGCCACACAGCTAGTTAAGAGCTAAGTCACTAGTTAGCCATAGAGAACAGGCAGTGGTGGCCATACATTTAATCCCAGTACTCGGGAGACAGAGACAGCTGGATCTCTGTGAGTTCAAGGCCAGCCTGGCTACATGAGTGGAGTCAGTCTAAAAGAGAAACAGAGCTCACACCTTTCATCTCAGCATTTGGGATGACACACCTTTAATCCCAGCACTAGAGAGGAATATAAGGTGGGAGGAGACAGGAGCAGTCTAGGCAGTCTGAGGTTTGATGGAGAGTAGTGTGGTCAGAGGAACAGTGGGGTCTGGAGATGCAGTCTGAGGACAGGATGTCCCCTTTGGTCTGAGCATTGGTAGAGGTGAGAACTCCCTAGTGGCTGGCTGCTTTGTTTCTCTGAGCTTCAGGAAAGTTTTATTAGATCATAAACAAAGTATAACCACAACCTCGTATACAATAAATGCATTTAGATTAATTCAATGCTAAATTACTATTAGGGCTGTTTTCAGCACTTGTATCTCTTAAGGGATCCAATGCTGATGTTCATTTCCTTTAGAATATTTTTGTACACTCTAACTTGCTCTGGCAGCCAGATGTCATAGTCTATTCTTCCTAAAATCTCATTAGGTGGCCTTTTTCCTCATCTCTACTGCTCTGACTTCACTGGATATTTAAGGGAGCACCATATGCTGAGAAAAGATCCAAGAGATGAGGTAATGAGATTGGTTTCTTATCAAACATTGTTGGACAGTTAGTGTACCACAAAATATAGTTTAAAAATATATACACTGACCAGGTGTGGCAATGTAAATTTGTGGTTCCAGGGGAGGCTGAGGTAAGAGGGTCAGGAATTAGATAACAACTTGAACTACATACTGAGATTCTTAACACACACTCACACATTTACCTTGTGTCCCACTGCGAGCTCGGGAGCTACTGGCAGTTTATGGCTGCTTGGAAAGGAAGAGTCCGTTTTCTTCAAGGATGTGCCTCCTGAGAGGAGAACAAAAGGCGTATAAGAAGTTGGAACAAGCCTGGCAGTCGTGGCTCACACCGTTAATCCCAGCCCTTGGGAGACAGAGGCAGGTGGATCTCTGAGTTCTAGGCCAGCCTGGTCTACAGAGTGAGTTCCAGGACAGCCAAGGCTACACAGAGAAAACCTGTATCAGAAAACTAAAAAAAAAAGTTGGGAGAGAAAAATTGTGGGGATACAGGAGGAGTTGAAAGAGAGGGTAGATTTGATCAAAATGCATTTTGTGTTTATAAGAAAGTCTCAAAAAATTAAATAAATATCAAATACTTGTCCTAAGATCAGGAAAATGAATGTTTTTTTTTTCTTTTCAACTTTTCTAATTTTCCTTAATGAGCATGTGTTTTGTTTTTTTCCGCATTTTAATTTTTTAACATTTTTTAAGATTTATTTATTTAGTATACAGCATCTGTCTATATGCCCACAGGCCAGAAGAGGGTGCCAGATCTCATTTCAGATGGTTGTGAGCCACCATGTGGTTGCTGGGAATTGAACTCAGGACTCTGGAAGAACAGCCAGTGCTCTTAACCTCTGAGCCATCTCTCCAGCCGTCCATATTTTAAATGTATTTGATTTCATTTTACATTTCAACTATACTTCCCGTGCCACCCTTCCTCCCACCCCCCCCAGCCTCCTCCCACCCCCATCCTTCCAGTCCTCCTCACCTCCTCCCCAGCCCACCCCCAGTCCACTCCTCCTCACAGGTAAGGGCTCTCATGAGGAGTCAACATAATCTGGTACATTAGGTTGCGGCAGGGCTCAGCCCGTTTCCCATGCATTAAGACGGAACACGGCATCCCACCCTAGGGAATGGACTCCAACATGCTAGCTCATGTGCCAAGTTTGTCTTGTGGTCCTACTGCCAGGAGCCCTTAGATAGTCCAAGCTTCACACCTGTCTCCCATATATGGAGGGTCTGGTTCGGTCCCCTGTAGTCTCCACAGTTGTAGGTCTAGAGTTCATGAGTTTCCACAAGCTTGGTTCAGCTGTCTTTGTTGATTTCTCCATCATGATCTTAACTTCCCTGGCTCACATGTTCCCCCCTTCCTCTCTTCAACTGGATTCCCGGAGCTCAGCCTGGTTCTTGGTTGTGGATCTCTGTGTCTGGTATGATGATAGTTGAAGTATCCATCAATCTGGATGCAGGGGTAGGCCACTTCTGGCATCCTCTCTATTATTACTAGGAGTCTTAGTTGGGGTCCTCCTTGTGGATTCTTGGGAGTTACCCTAGCACCAGGTTTCTCCCTAAACCCATAGTAACTCTCTCCAGATATTGTTTTTTCATTGCTCTTCCAGAATGTGTTTTCTTTAAATGGAAAACAATACTCTAAAATGATAGTTCCTTCACATCACGCAGCATACAGCTGTGTGATGAATGTCCAAGTCACATTTTAATAATTGCTGTAAGTGCCTGTATAGACATATTTTTTATTGATAGGTACTATTAATTTATAAGTTCAAGTTTTCTCAAAAACCGTAATCCTGTTTATTCTGCACTCACAGTCCATTGCTTGTAGCAATCTCAGACATACCTATTCCTAGCCAGCAGAGAAAGAATAATAGTTTCCATCACCAAAAACACATTTTCATAGGAGGCCTTAAAGCAAAGATTAATTTCTGTGGAACTTACTGTTTATTAAAATTGTTTGGCATTTAGCATTATTAATGACTCACATCTGACTATTTTGATGTATGACTTTTCCCCCTTACCAAGAGTTTGTTCTCCAGAACTTCCCATTATGTTGCCATTGAAATGAAACTCATTCACCCAATGTCTGTGAGTCTGTGTCCTTCATCCAATGTTTGTGAGTCTGTATCAACTAAGACTTTGTTATGGTTAGGCCTTAAATGTCCTCTAAAGGTTTGCGTGTGGCACCGCATGTTGTGTCACACGCCTTTAATCCCAATACTTGGGAGGCAGAGGCAGGCGGATGTCTGTGAGTTCGAGGCCAACCTGATTTACAGAGTGATTTCCAGGACATCCAGGACTGTTTCATGGAGAAAACATGTCTCAAAAAAAAAGAAGGTTTAAGTGTGGAATTCTATGTCCCTATTTGATGGTTTTATTGGGAAACGGAGGAAGTACTGGGAAATGAGGCCTAGTTGAATGAAGTAAGATAACTGGGGAGATGCTTGAATTGAAGAATGTGGATCTCTTTGTATGTGTGTTCTTGGACCCCATGAAATGAGCAGTTTTCCTCCACCACATATTTATTTCTCTGTCTCTTTTTTTAATTTAGTTTAATTTATGAGTGTTCTATTGGCATGGACAACTTTATGCCAGAAGAGGGCATCAGATCCCACTGTAGGGGGTTGTGAACCACTGTGTGGTTGCTGAGAATTGAACTTGGGACCTCTGGAAGAGCAGTCACTGATTGTAACCACTGAGCCATCTCTCCAGTCACCCTCTACCACATATTCTTATCATGCTATCTTGCTTCACAACAAGTCTAAAAGCAATTGGGAAGTGACCATGGAGTGAAAGCAAACTAAACATTTCCTCCTTTTAGTTACTTAAGGAATTTTGTTGCAGTAAGTGGAAACAAACAAACAGGCCTTAAGTCACCCCTTGAGAAAGACGAAACTTTTCTTGGGCATATGGGAAAGTGACTATCGGAGCACAAGGGCTCCATTAACAAAGGGGTTGAGCTGGTAGGAATGGCAGCTGCACAGCAGTAACAAACGATGTAGTGTGGCGATGATGGTGTTGAAGGTTTAAATACTGATGACTGCTAAAACGTGGAGATCTAGAGAAGAAAACAGTGGACAACTTAACATAAAATACATAAACATATTGATCCCCACAGTGGACACTGACAAACCAGGTACAGTGGGCACACCTGTAATCTAAGCTACTTCAGGAGTAGAGATGGGAGGATCATCTGAGTTTGAGGTAAGGCCGGGCAAGTGAGCAGAACTTTGTCACACACATACATAAAAAATTCAAAATCAAAACATACCAAGAATACAGTCAGCTACATATTCTGTATGATTTACTTTGTACTGTGCTATTATAAAATGCCTGTTAGAAATTTGTTTCTGTCAGCTATTTCATTTTTCTTGTGCAGAAGATGCAAGCAACAGAATAAGGAAAAGACTATTGCTCTAAGTTTAACAATTGTGATTTGATAAACCCAAGAATATACATTTATTCATCTTGCAAACTAAACTGATGTGTTACACGTTGAATTTGTTTCTAAATGGAGATTGTTTGGGTTTGAGGATTTTATTATGATTTTTTTTCATTTTCCTTCAGAGCTATATACATGCTTTTGGGTTTGATGGGATTTTTTTCTTTGTTTTACTGCCTTGTGTGGTTTTGATTTTGTGAGACAAGGTCTCAAGTTGTTCAGGCTGACCTTGAAGTCTTTTTTCAAGGCAGGGTTTCTTTGTGTAACAGGTCTGGCTGTCCTGGAACTCTCTTTGTAGACAAGACTGTCCTCAAACTTATAGAGACCCAGCTGCCTCTGTTTCCCAAGTGCTGGCCTCGAAAGCCTCATCTTCTTGCCCCTACCTCCCAAACCCTGGGATTACAGTGTGTACCATTGTACCCTATTCTCACATAGGTCCTTGTACATTATAAATACTGAATAAATATCTCAGAAATGAATACATGAAAGAATCATTGAAAGGGGGAAGTACTTTTGTAGGGAGAAAAATCAATATGCTCCCTTCCTTTACTACAATCTTCATGGTAAAGATATTGCCAATAGTTAAATAAGAGAAAAGAAGAAAAAAAGAATACATGAGGAGTTTGCATGACACAGACACCCTGAGAAGTGGGTTTGATAAAGAGGGGATGGTCACCTGGGCAGTGGTGGCACACACCTTTCATTCCAGGACTCTGGAAGCAGAGGTAGGGGAAGTTCTTCAAGTTCAAGAGCAGCCTGGTGTGTACACGAGTTCCAGGCTAGCCAGGGGTGCATAGTGAGACTGGTCTTACGAACAAAACAAAACAATTCTGAACACAGAAACCATTTTCTCTCCGTATCCTGGCTTTAAGCATTCCAAAAGGAGAGAACATTTCACACTCTTCATACTGGATGAAGAAAGCAGTAATATGACAGCAGAAGGCTGACTAATCGACCATCAGTGAAGAGCACCCTCACAGACGTCTCCCTGACAGACAGTAGGATTTGTCAGATGAGCTTTGTATTACACCTCAGTGTATTTGACAGGCCAAAGACAGGTTTTTAAAGAACATTTCACCCAAACACAAAAGAATGTACCTTCTTCCCAGCACCTTGTGGAACTTTCTCTAGAATTAACCACATACTCAGACACAAAGCAAGTCTCAACAGACACAAGAAATCTGAAATAATCCCCTGCATCCTATCTGACCATCACAGATTAAAGCTGGATATCAATACCAACAAAAGGCTTACAAACTCATGGAAAGGGACAACTCACTACTGAATGAAATTAAGAAATAAATTAGAGACTTTCTAGAATGTAATGAAAATGAATACATAACATGCCCAAACTTATGCAACACAACAAAGGAGATTCTAAGAGGAAAGTTCATAATACTTAAGTGTCTACATCAAAAAATCCTCTGGAGTGATCTCATACTAGTTACTTAATAGTACACCTGAAAGCTCTAGAACAAAAAGAAGAAATCATCCAAAAGGAGTAGATGTCAAGAAATAATCAAACTTGGGACTGAAATCAATAAAATAGAAACAACAACAAAAACAATACAAAGAATCAATGAAACAAAGAATTGGCTCTCTTTGGGAATCTACAGATTCAATGCAATCCCCACCAAAATTCCAACACAAAACTGGGTGGTGGTGCACACCTTTAATCCTAGAACTTGAGAGGCAGAGGCAGGTGGATCTCTGAGTTTGAAGTTAGCCTGGTCTACAGAGCAAGTTCAGGACAGCCAAAGCTACACAGAGAAACCCTGTCTGGAAACACACACCCCAAATAATAATAATAATAGTAATAATAATAATGATGAAGTACTGATACATGCTGAAACATAGATGGATCTTGAAGATCTACACTAAATAAAAATTTTAAAAATTGTTAGCAAGCCAGGTAGTGATGGCACATGCCTTTAATCCCAGCACTTAGGAAGCAGAGGCAGGAGGATTTCTGTGGGCTTGATGCCAGCCTTGTCTACAGAGTGAGTTCCAGGACAGCCTGGGCTACACACAGAGAAATCCTGTCTCAAAAGAAATCCAACACAATTCTTCAAAGATCTGGAAATGATCACTTTTGGCTGTTGCCAAGGCTATAAGTTGCTCTCTGCAAATTGACAACAAGGCCCTATTGCTGAAGAAAACATCTTTACAACACCAGCCACAAACCCTTTGATCTAAAATGGTGTCGCACTACAGTATCTGCTAGTGCAATGGTGGCATAAAGCTTGTGGGAGTGACCAACCAATGTCTGATTGTCTTATGACCCACTCCATGAGACAGAAGCCTGCGTGGGTGACCAAGAACCAAAGACCAGATAGCCCAGGGACCAAGGATAAAATCAAATACTTCCGTTCTACTAAAAGAATATAGTATTAAAATGACTCCTAATGACATTCTGCTATACTCACAGGTCAGTGCCTTGCTCGGTGTCTTTGTTAGGGTTACTATTGTTGTAATGAAACACCATGAGCAACAACAATGTAGGGAGGAAAGGGTTTGCTTCCCTCTCTGTTTCATCAAAGGCAGTGAAGGCAGGAACTCGAGCACAGCATGAACCTCAAGGCAGGAACTGATGCAGAGACTATGGAGCAGTGCTGCTTACTGGTCTGCTCAGCCTGCTTTCTTATAGAACCCAAGACTACCAACCAACCGGGCGGTGGTGGCGCATGCCTTTAATCCCAGCACTCGGGAGGCAGAGGCAGGCGGATCTCTGTGAGTTCGAGGCCGGGCTGGACTGACAGCCTCCAAAACAATACAGAGAAACCCTGTCTCGTAAAAACCAAAAAAAAAAAAAAAAAGACTACCGACCTAGAGATGGCACCACCTACAATGTCCTGGGCCCTCCCCGGTCAATCACTAAAATTAAGAAAATTCCCCACAGGCTTGCTTACAACCAAATCTTATGGAGGCGTTTAGTCAGCTGAGGCCCCCTCCTCTCTGATGACTCTAGGGTGCATCAAGTTGACGTAAAACTAGACAGGACAGCTGACCCCTGACCAACTTGACACACAACTTGACTTACTTAACACATCAGTGTTAAGCTACAACTATTCCTTTCTTGTTCATCCCCAAAATGACACATTAATAAAGACATCACAATATAAAACATTTTACAAACTTAAAAAGTCCCACATCCTTACAAATTCAAACACTTTAAAGTTGTCTATTTAAAAATATCCAATCCAGTCTCTTTTAAAATCCAAATTCTCGGTAAAACTCTTTTTAAAAAGGTTTGGTCTCAAACGGTTGGTCGTGGTACAGGCCTTTAATCCCAGACTCAGGAGGCAGATGCAGAGGCAGGCATATTTCTGTGAGTTCAAGACCAGCCTGATCTACAGAGTGAGTTCCAGGACAGCTAGGGCTGTTCCACATAGAAACCCTGTCTCAAAAATAAATAAATAAACGAATAAATAAATAACCAAAAGAATTTAGTCTCTCTACTTTTGGACTCCTACAACATCAAAAATAAATTAAGTACTTAAGAATCAGCACTCAATCACAGTCTGAAAAAAGCAAAACCAAACTCCAGGAGTGTCAATAGCTCAGTGTCCAATGTCTGGGTTTCACTCACAATTTTCTGGGCTCCTCCGAACTGCTTGGATCACGTCTCTCACTCCACCCTCTGCAACACACACAGCTGTCTTTGAGGCTCCCTCCAGCTGGCTCCACACCACAGCTGCTGCTGGTTTTGGTGGTTATCCCATGGAACTGGTGTCTCTGAAAATGTAGGGGTCCCTTGCTGTAACTGAGCTGTACTTTGACCAGTAACCTGGCCACACAGTGCCAAGCCTCATTTGCTCTCTATGACCCCTTCAGCTCTTCTACTACCAAGTTCAGTTGCTAGCACAAGGTACAGTCTCAGCCACTTCTGGAACACAGCTCTTGTGTGCTGACCCTGACAAAACACTTAGAAGATTTCACATCGGTGATGCTGGTGTCTTCTTAATCACAGCTGAATCTCAGCCCCAGCTGAACAGCATCCATTGTCCCAGCAAAGCAAAGCTTTTACTGTAGTGGTTCCAAGCTCTCAACACTCGATGACTTTTCCAGAAAAAAGTCCCAAAGTCCTTCCACAATCATCCTCCAAAGCAACACAGGTCTGTCACAGCAATACGCCACTATTCTGGTACCAGCTTGTGTCTTCGTTAAGAATTACTCTTGCTGGGATGAAACACCATGACCAAAAGCAATAAGGGGAGGAAAGGGTTTATTTCTCTCACAGTTCTGTTAACAGTTCATCACCAAAAGCAATGAGGGCAGGAACTGGGGGCAGAAGCCATAGAAAGGTGCTACGTACTGGTTTGCTCGGCCAGCTCTCTTATAGAACACAGGACCACCAGCCCAGGGATGGCACCACCCACAAAGGTCCAGGCCCTCCTCCATCAATCACTAATTAAGAAAATTCCCCACAGGCTTGCCTACAGCCAGATCTTATGGAGGTATTTTTCCAACTGAGACCCCCTCCTCTCTGATGAGTCTAGCTTGTGTCAAGTTGACATAAAACTAAGCAGGACATTCAGCCACCATCAGAGAAGCTTCTTCCTGCAGGAGATGGAACAAACAGAGGCCAGTGGTCAGACACTATGCAAAGAGCAAGAGACCTTGGAGCACTCAGCCCTCCCCAGTGTACTCAGGGAAACCTGTGGAAGAGGATGCCGAAAGAGTATAAGAGCTAGAAACAGGGGAGGGTGGGGCTGAAGAGATGGTTCAGGGGTTAAGAGCACTGGCTGCTTTTCCGGAGGACCCGGGTTCAATTCCCAGCACTCACACAGCAGCTTAGAACCACCTGTAACACCAGTTCCAGGGGATCTGACAACCTCATACAGATACACATGCAGACAAAATACCAATGCACATAAAAATAAATAAATCTTCAAAGAGAGAGAGAACTCCAGAAGGGATGGAGGACACCCAGGAAACCAGGCCTTTGAAACAGGGTGTCTGCACATGTGAAGGCACAGAGATGGATGCAGAAAGCATGGGTCCTTTGGGTATATATTATGACTCCCAGTCTACTGTTTTTGTGGGGTTTCCTGAGTATGTGAGCAAGTGGATCTCTGTGTCCATATTTCTGTTTCTTGTGACTTCTCGGGCTCTTTTTATCCAGTTTGTTTTGTCCTAGTCTGATGTATTAGTTTTGTCTCTTAGAAGTCTGTTTTTTTAAACAGCCAAGCAACATTTTATTGCATAAACAGAAAACATTTTCTTCATCTGCTTATCAACTGAAGAAAAATTAAAGTTTTTTTATTTAACTTTTTAAGCATGTCACTTTCAGTTCCCTCTCTGTCCCTTCCTCCCCTACTCCCCAATCCTCCCAATCCCTCACCCCCCACTCCATTCCCCCTCCGCTCCCCAGGGAGGGCAAGGGCCTCCATGAGGGATTTTCAGAGTCACATCATCCCGGGACGGGCCCAGGTTCTTCCCCATGAGTCCAGGCTGAGAGAGTCTGTTTTTTAATGAGATACAGAAAGGGGGTAGGTCTGGATGGGAGGGGAGGTGGGAAGGAAATGGGAGGAGAAACCATAATCAGGATATATTATATGAGAAAAAAACCTATTTCCAGTAAAAGAGGAGAAAAAGAAAGAAAAGGACAGTCGTTTTTAAAGTGTGAGAGTGGTGAGGAAGGCAACTCAGTCACAAGCATGAGGACCTGTAAAAATGGCAAGTATGACTGGTGTCAAGTACCGGCACCCCCAGTACTGGGGAGGCACAAATAGAGAAGTCCCGGGGCTTGCCAGGGAGCCTCTCATCCCAGTAACAGATCTGGTCTCCAAAAGTGATCTGAATGGCTCGTGATGAATCTGCTGAATGGTACCTCAGGTTAACCTCTGGCATCCACATGTACAAAAGCACACACTCATACACACAGGTGCACCCCTTCACACACAAAAAGTGTGGGAGTAGCCCCTCCCCATGTGGTAAAGAGCACAAATTGAGGACCAAGTTTCTTCTTCGATAGCAGTAACACCAAGCTCTGAAAATTCAACACAAAGTTCTACTAGGCTAGCTTGAAAAATTATCCCTATAAATACAAGGCCCTCGTCTTATTCCTAACTCTCTCCACCCTCCCCAGCTTTGTTCCTGTCTTTTTGTCTCAAATTGTTGTTTTATCAAAACTGTGTATGCTAATAGATAGCTACCTGCTCTCAGCAGCTCATTCCTTCTACCATGTTTCTCAAGACCTAGTTAACCTCCGGAGTCTCAGAATCACCCTTCCTTAAACTCTTACAACATGCAGGCCATGTACTAAGTAAGCCCCAGAGAGACGGAAAGTAAAGATTCCTACTTTCAACACACTCCCCACGGTAATTTGAGGAAAATTTTTGGCCAGAGTCTCAGAACCATAAGGAAAGTATTTGGTAGGAAACATTAAAGTAACTAAAGGGCTGCCTTAACCACCCACTGGCCTGTGCACAAACAAATGAGCTGTCGCTGAGATATGAGCATGGAAGAAATGGAGTTCAAGAGAAGCAGCAACGCTGGGGAATTTCCTCTGCTGTGTGTGTTGAGACGCACTGAAGTCCAGGATCCGATAGAAACATGAAAAAAATGCTTAGATCCCTCCCCCTCCCTCTCTCCCCTCTCCGTCCCCGCTCTGGGTCTCTCACCATGCAACTCTGGCTGTACTGGAACTCACTATGTAGACCAGGCTAGCCTTAAACTCATGAAGCTCTGCCTGCCTCCACCTCCCAAGTAATGGGATTAAAGATGAATGCTACCATATGCAGGCTTTTAGACACTATCTATCAAAACTGTGGTTTGGGGAATGACCTGCACAAATGATAAAAAGTCTCTTCCAAGTTATGGTTCCAAGACTCCCTAAGTGAAACAAAGGCCAGCAAAGACTGGTTTAGAGCCCCATTCATGATTCATTAAACAACTTTGAAACTCTCTAGTTATGGACAGGGGTACCAGACTGTGTCTATAAGCAAGCTGTGGAAATCCCACAAAAATACTGCAACATGATATGTCATGTTTTGTTGCTATTCATGGGAGACCTGCCTTTTCCTAAACAGAAACCCAGGGGGAGCAGGTTGGGGGATGGGAACACAGGGAGGTTGTTGGAGAGCCTGGGGGGGGGGGAGAAAGGAGGGAAAACTTCTGTCGACTGTAAAATAAATAAATAAATGTATTTGTTTACTTAAAAAAGTAAAAAAAATAGGATGGTAACTCATTTCTAAAATGATGTCCTTATTATAGCCATAAGAATGAAGTAATACTGTCACTTTTTATTATATTTATTTCATGTGCATGGATGTTTTGTCTTCATGGATCTCTGTACCATATGAATGGCTGGTGCTCTCAAAGGCAATAAAACAGTGTCAGACTCCCTGAAACTAGAGTTAGAAATAGTTGACCAGATATTTGGGTGCTGGGAATCAAACCTGGATCTTCTGGAAGAACAACCAGAGCCTGAGTCATCTCTCCAGTATGGGCAAATATCTTGGAATAAAACCAGACAAATATTGATAGAGAGAAAAATTACAGTGGATATTGAGGTCTTTCTAGGTCATTTCCTTCTAGGGCAGTAATCCAATGACGTGAGTGACCTGCTTTCTGTTGTAAGTACTTCATTTCACTTTTATTTTATGCTCACATGCTTATATGTTCTAAAGACATATGATCAAATTCAAATCCTAATAGACACAGGGGTTATATTCGTCCTAAAACACCTCCAGAAACTCATTATACAGTGAGCTCAACTTGCTAGTCAAGCCCTGCACCATGTGGATGCATGAAGGAAATGAGAACAGTTGATCCCTGGCAATGAAAATAGAATTTTGAGAATGGGATGTGAAAAACCTGTGACACGAGAGAAAAAGCCAAGTGTGTTAACTAGACCAGATTTTTGTGGTACCAAATATTTCTGGAAATAAACGGATCACTGGCTGAGTCATAGACATTTTTGCCATGTCTCATTAAATGAAGACTTTCAGAAAAGAACCATTTTTGTAAAGAATTTAACGTTAAGACTAAAATGGGTACATGCCCAATCAAATACTTAAAGTTGACATACTTTTTCACCATTTTTGCTACTTGAGTCACTCGATAAGAAACAAAAATAAGAATATCTTTGTTTCCATATGCTTGAACTATGTTAGAAATTTGCAGCTTAAGAAAACTGTGAATACATAGCAGCTGCCCAAATTATAATTATAGTGGTGTTTTCTTAAACCCACTGAAGAATGCTATACAGTTTGTTTTCCAGGGTTAAAATTTGGATGTATACAGTTGTTACAGTCTAAAACTTTTCACATAGAATCTGAGCTTTAGGAAACTTTTGTGTATATGTATGTTGAATTTCCTTAAAATTGCTGCTTATAATTTTAGACTATAGCACCCTAAAAGTTAAAATTCTTTCTTAAATGACTCCAATTTATAGAAGGATGGAACAGAGAATTTATACCATACTGATGAAGTACTGCATGCTGATAATCTTATGATCAGACATTCTCTGTTCTTATTTGTTGAGCTTTCTTCTGACTTTTTTTTAATTCTTTCTTTTTTTTAATGAGATGGGATCTTGCTATGTTGCCCAGACTAGCCTAGCTTTGTAGCTCAGAATGGCCTCAAACTCATGGAAATCCTACTGCTTCAGCCTCTGGTGTACTGGGATTGCAGCTGTGAGAAATTTATTCTCATTCATCATGACAATATAATACAAAATTGAAGGTGATTTCCTAGGAATACTTTTAATAACTGGAGATTTCTGGAGGCAGAAGTAGGAAGATATTGAGTTCAAGACCAGCAAGTTCTAGGGCAACCTGAGTTATTCACATGCCTAAAAGTACAGACAAGATACAATAACAAGGCGGGAGTTGGTGGTGAATGCCTTTAATCCCAGCACTCAGGAGGCAGAGGCAGGTGGATCTCTATGAGTTGGAGGCCAGCCTGGTCTACAGACCGAGTTCCAGGACAGGCTCCAAAGCCACAGAGAAATCCTGTCTCAAAAAACCAAAAAAAAAAAAAGATACAATAACAATAAATGACAATATTCCGTTTTGTCCTGGTTTTTTTTTTTAGACAGTTCCGCTGTATAGCCCTGGCTGTCTTGAAACTAATCCTGTAGGCTAGGCTGACCTTGAACTCACAAAGAGCCACCTGTCTCTGCCACTGTGTCCTGAGATCAAAAGTGTATGCCACCACTGCCCAGCAAAAACACAATTTCAAGTGTATGTCTTAACAATACATATGTATTCATAAAGTATTTAGGATGTTAAAGAACAGTGTGCTCTTCCAGTATCTCACAACATAAATATCATTTAGTCATTTGCAATGCAGCCCATGGTATTTCTCAAAGAAATACAA